TGAAATAGCAACAGCAACAATCACAAACGAAATCAGTGGTCGATAATGCAGTGATACATGTCAGAACTATTTTCCCTAGGAGGACAACACAGGTGTAGTTTTTAACCTTGGGTGAAATGCTCAGCTTCATTAGTTTAATCATGCATGCGAAAACTAAACTACAAAGAAAGAATGGCTAGGTTTTCTTTTTATTTATTTATTTATTTTGGATTTTGGGGAAAAAATCAGAGAAGCACCACGTATTGTGTGCTATATAAATGGCAGTGTACAGGCTACCAAAAGAGTAAGTGTTAACACTGTGCCATATTTGCTTCAGAATTTTTTTAGGAAAAAAATCAAGCATTCCAGATAAAGTGTTAATCTCCCCTTTTAATTAATTAATTGATTGATTGATTTTTGGAGCGAGGAGGAGGGAGGAAGGAAGAAGGAAAGAAATATCCATAGGTTGCCTCTCATAGGTGCCCCACCTGGGGACTGAACTCGCAACCCTGCATGTTCTCTGACCTGGAATCAAACCAGCAACCTTTCACTTTATGGAGCAATACCCACCCAACTGAACCACACTAGTTAAAGCCCTCTCTCTTTTTAAAAAATTTTAATTTATTGATTTTAGAGAGAGAGAGGAAAGGGGGGAAGAGAAAGAGAGACACTGATTTGTTGTCTCACTAGTTTATGCATTCATTGGTTGATTCTTGTATGTGCCCTGACCAGGGATTGAACCCACAAGCTTGATGTATCAGGACAATGCTTTAACCAGCTCTAATCAACTGAGCTACCCAGCCAGAGTTGCTCCCTTTGTCTTCTTCCATTCTCTTCTTTCCCAAGACCAGTACTATGAGGAAGTTACCAGGAATCCTTCCACTGTGCCCTTTCAGGCTTTTACGATGTATATAGATAGATAGATGGCTATGTGTATATCACAATGTACACTATTATAAGATAGACCATTAAGAGTGTTATTTTATAGATTTTGAAATGTTAACAAATGGTATCCTACACATCAATCTGCAATCTAATTTTCTCAGTCAACATATATGTTTGATATTTATATGAACTGGATCTTAATACAAACAGAACCAGTTCAGTAATTTTAAGTGCTTTATATTATTTTATTGAATAAACAAACTATGGTTTATTTATTCATCTAATGATGCTAATTATTATGAACAATTCTACAAGGAATGCCCTTGAACTTATTTCCTTAGGCACATGTATCAGAGTTTCATTGGAATAACAGTTCTAGATATGAAATTGTCGAGTTACAGGATATGCATTGTCAGCTTTATTTCATATTGCCTGAGTGTTCTCCAGCAGGACTGTGCTATTTTGTATCGCCTTTCTGCAGTGATGGAACTAGCTTTCTAAAACAAACATGCCAAATATACTGTCTATAGTTTTGAGGGTTTTCCATCGCAGAACTTAACCCTTTTCCCACCGCGTGACCTATGTGTTTCTTTACCGGCAGAGGGTCAATTCTCTGGCCTCCTTAGAAACGACAGAGTAAATATCCAAACTTAGGTTGTTTCATGTTCATTTAGGACAAAACCCCACACTTTTCAGGAAAACTGTACTGTTATCAAGTTCTTTCAGAATGAATCTTTCCCTAACCTAAATTTGACTCTCTTGTCTTTATTCTTACTATTTGACTAAATAAAATTTCTCACCTTTTCAATGTTTTCATAGGTCCTGAGGAGACTGTCTAGTCACTTTGTACATGATTTTCAATATTTGTCTGCTTATTTTAAATCTTTCAAGTGGTAAAGAAAACAAAATAACGTTTTCTCTTGGCGTTAATTTGTCTCCTTAAATTCCCTAAATTTTTTTAGTCCTCTTAGAATTTAACTTAAAATTTCCCTTTTGCGTCACACAAATACAGATGTTAAAGCAACCTCCAGGAACAACTTCCCGAACTTGAAATTGTTGCTGCTACCCTAGACTGAAACCTGTTGAAACATGTCCACATGTAGTTCCCTCTTTCCTGGGAGGCAGAACATCAGCCCCGAACATCTACAGTCGGTGGATGCAGACAGGCCCAGTGTCCTTGTATGGCTTAGTCACGTGCAAAGTCTGACCCCCTGGCTTTTTTTAAACCGAGCTCTTAAATGGAGACAAAGTTGAGCTAGTGACGGACAGTCATGACAGGGCCCAAACTACCCAGAGCCTTTTTGACAAGTCATCCTTACTTTCTATTTAGCACTCACATTTGGGTGTTTTCCCAGTTTTATCCTTTTTTAATACTAGTGGAATGAACAGAAATAGGAATCAGTGCCTTCTGGTCCATCACTTCTCTTTTAAGAAACACTGAGTTTAAATGTTAGCTCTTAACAGAAAGGGTCCAGAATTATCTTGCGTCGAATGCAAAGGCACTCACGCCTGGCCTCCCTGTGCAACCGAAAGGAGGTGCTGACCATCTGAGCACGATGAGCTCCCTACATGCTGTGAATATATGTTGTTATGATTTGGCATTTCACGACATATATGAAGCTTCCTATTTTGGGCAGAGTTGGGTGATGTGGAGGTAATCAGATTGTGTTTGAAAGATCACTCTGGCTACATTTACAGAGTTGGTTGGAGGAGGCCTGGGGAAGCTGTAGGAGACCATTGTAATACTTCTGGTGAGAAAGGAGGCTGATTTGGGCCAGGACGGTAACTGGAGAAGGGACAGAAGGACGCACGTGCAAAGTTTGGGAGGCAAATTCACCTGGATTTGGTGATAGCTGGGCTCTGGGGGCTGAGGGAAAGAAGAGGATCCGTCATGGTAGAATGAGTTTCCTCAGTTCTGATCTGGTGCACAGTTATGGGCATGGGGTTTTCATCACAGCTTCACATGAACTAGTGTAATATCAGTATTAACTGAAGCCAGGGAGGCTCAGCATCATGCCGTGTTCTACACTGTGTGATGTTTGGAAAAATCCTGACAGTCATTCCAGGATTCCTGCACGCTTAGTTTAAGAAAATTATTGCTGAAATAAGAGTGTAGGAGGAAACACTTCTTATACTCGACTGATTTGCAAGACTGACTGGCTAGTGTCTGGCATTCAAATGAGCTAACACAGAAGGTAGCACCCACTCCATATAAATGTTAGCGTTTTCCTGGCTGTTGGTGACATTGGCTAGAAGCACAAAGGAAAATTGAACTTCTCAAAATGCTTCATAACGATTTTCACCAGCAGTCCTCATGGAAGGTGTGTTTGTACACGGGGAGAGGACAGGGCGGAGGGCTGGGCCGTCAACATTTTTGGCTCCATTATTGCCAAACATTGGCATTTAAGGAACGAGTGGCCTCGTTCACTGCTCCATGGGCTGTCGATGGCAGGCTCAGAGTTGAGACCTTCAGTCTTCGGGCCGGCTTCTTAAAACAAAAGCAAAAACAACAATAAAGTAACTGCAGTGTAATCTGATCTAAATACGAAGTGTGTCATTAGATTGCTCATGTAGTAGATGTACCAATCGCATGAAATGTTTTCATTGTCTGCCATCATCCCCAAACTGGGAATTTAAAGAAGTCGTTAATCTGAAATAGAATGTAATATAGGAATGTGTTCATTCTTCTCAGGCTACATTGATTATCTGCTGTGAAAACTGGCGTGCTATAGTCATAACTTCCCAAACAGTTGTATTTATTAGATTGATGTCTATCTTTTATTTGTGGGGGTTAGTGGAAAGGTTTGGGGTGGAGACCAATGAGTTCAAGAAAAGCAAAAAAAAAAAAAAAATCAGCTGTTTTAAATGGTGATAAAAGAAGAAAAAGAGATTGTCAGCACCGCACCTTTGGCCCTCTGTATAGAAATACTGAGCTAAATGAATATGAATGACCACGCTAATTTTAGGTTCCCAATGTAACCAGTGAGACTGTAAGATTTATACTCTGTGACTATTTATAAAGAAGTGGAAAAGCTGACTGGCAAGAGAAAGACATGATTTCTCAGGATGCTCTCAGGAACACCTCAGCAGCTGTCAGGTCCCCCTGCTGATTTTATTTGCAAAGGTCCAATGTCATGATGGTCCTTCTGAGAACTGTACCACTGGCTTCTTGGATGCCCCTTGGATGGGGAATGACCTTCTAGAATTGCTGTACATGTTTGACCCCTGACCTCCCACTCCTCCACAGACCACACCCCCCGGGGGCCCAGCGCTGACCTGGCCTGTGGAAGCAGGAGCTGATTGCCTCTGCCATCGGCACCGCCTCCACTTGTACCCGGCTGGCTAGCTGTTTTCCGGGACACTTTGTCCCATGCTTGTTGCCTGGTTTGAAGCAGATTTCACTTCCTTGAATGCCATCTTGAAAGAAAATCTGTTTGAGATGACCCAAGGCAATAGTCAATAGACCAACCTCAGTGAAGACATTTAAATACATAGAAAAGTTTTTTTTCTTTTGCTTTTTGAGGGTCTGTCTTTTTTGATGACTCCTCTCCTAATAGTTTCAGGTCCGGACAGCTGAAGTCCTACACCTTTTGCGAGGTGAGAGTCCATTTATTTCATCCAAATCACAGTCTCTTTTACCGGTTCTCTGCAGCTCCCTAACTCTCCGACTGCCTTCTGCCAGGTGTCATCCAGCTCGTGGAGCAGACAGTTACGGCCTCCGAGTGCCTTCAGACAGTTACGTGTTTGAGCCTGGGGGCCTTTAATGTGGATGTCCAGCCATGTCAGTGTGGCCTCTCCTTTCAGCTTGCTTTGTTTATCCAGCAGCTCATTACTTAAGAGTAGCCTGTCAAAGTAGATGAAATATTCTTTGGGAAACATGGTCACTCACATCCTTGAGATACCACAAATATGTTTAATACAGGGAAGATTGGCTTGATAAGAAAAGTGTGATTGACTTGTGTCACCAAAAAATATTTTCCTGTTGTCCTGGTTGAGTTTCCACAAGCATCAATAAGCGCTAGAAAACCTAAGGGCAATAAATTCTTGCAGCCGATACATAAAGACACCAAGGGAAGCAGGGAAAATGATTGCTGATGATTCATTCTAACTACTTGACCTTCTGACCTCTTCTCTAGATATATGACCAAGATGGGACACTACAGCACTTTATTGATGGTGGGGAACCTAGTAAGTCAAGCTGGATGAGGTATATCCGATGTGCAAGGCACTGCGGAGAACAGAATCTAACAGTAGTTCAGTACAGGTAAAGTATATCTCAATTTACCACTTACGGAGCTGAGGCCCTTGGGCCTGCATATGCCAATTCAGGCTTGCTGCTAGTGTTGAAACAGTTCTGCAGGGGTTTTTGCAGGAGCCCTGCAAGGACTGGCAGAAATTGTTTTGCTAGGTTTCTGAAATCTCCTTAGTTCTTGCGACCATAATTTCATGAGAATTCAGGAATAAAGACCATAGTAGAAGGCCTCTTTCCCTCAGTGCGCTTGGTATAGTTATTTCCACATCCTCACCTGAACGAGCCCAGCAAGCCCACTGGCTTGGGCCAAATGCCCCTGCAGAAGTGTTCACACCCACAGATTCAGCCCAGGCCATCTTCAGGCCTTCTCCCAGGAGGAACAGCTCCTTTGCACAAAGACCTGGGAAACCAAGGACTCTCAGCCTTCCCAAGGCTACTCTTCCAAAACCATTATGCTCGGCAGCAAGATCTGAGCCAGAGTAACCTCTCATGATCCCTAGAAAGGTGCCAATGCACTGGGCTTTCGTCCTTGGATGATTCAGAATGTTTCAGGAGACAAGGTGGTTCCAGAGCATGGGGAAGCCTCCGGTTTCCTGAGAGGTTGGAGCAAAGCCCAAAGACAAGGTGGAGCCACCCCCATTTCTCAGACTCCAATAGGGAGGCCTCCTGGGGACTCAGAAGCAGATGCTCAGCCACATCTGCTCAGTGCACCTGTTGGTCAAGCTTTTCCATTTGGTGCTAAAGAAGGCTGGAGTGGAGACAAGAGGGCCGAAACAGATCACATAGGAAAAAAAGCCCTACTACTAAGCCTTCTTTTCTCAAAAATCCCTCGAAAACATGTGCCATATAAATATATGACCTCAGTTATAAACAGCCATGCTCCCTTTAGAATCAGAAGCAACTGTTTAGCTTTATTAGGCACCATTGACACATCAAAGCAGGAGGCCCTGTGCTCGGCAACTTGGAGTCCTGCCTGTGGCTATTTATTTTCCTTTCCTCTTTTTTTTTTTAATGAAGCCTTACAAAAAAAAAAAAAGAGAGAGAGAGAGAGAAAGAGCTTTATTCCCCTTATAGGTTAAAGGCTGCACAAATCTGGCTTGCTCTCTGAAGGTCTCCAGCTCAAAAGGCACTTATTTGGGCAGCATGTGGCTTCACTGCCTTGGTTTCCGACGCAGTGACATTTCATGAAATAATGGTTCCAACGAACGCGTGTGCGGCGGTGTTTGGTTACACTGCTGTGTACAGGCCTTTACTCACCTTTATTGCAGCCGCGTGTCTGCCAATAAGTTCTTTATGGAACTCGGAGCTAGAGGATTAGTAAAGACTGTGCTTGTCCATTCAGCTGAGACAGTTGGGCTGGTTCTGGAACGAGCGCCCAGGGAGCTCCTGAGGCCAAGTCTGAATCCGGGCAGACGAGAAACCCCAGAGAGGAAGGTGGGCATGAGGACGTCCTTACCTATCTGTCAATACGAAGTGAGTTTTACAGCTCTCCTTTCATGATGGCGCTTAAACTTCAAGTTCCCTCTGCCAATCTGTTTTCGATTAGTTCAGATCTTTATAAAACGAACTACAAAAACACAATTTAAAAAACTGGCATCCATCACCAGCGACTACGTCCAAGAGTAAGAAAATAGAAAAGTTGGACCCTGAAGAGCCAGCCTAATTTTTATTGTACATGAATGTCCTCTTCACAAAAAGTCAGCTGGTTTAGATTCATTCTGTTATGATTTGTAATATCTAAATGGAATTTTCTTCAAAGCGCCCTTGATTGATTGACCCTTAGCTGAACGTTTTGTTTTTATTTTGAGGCTGACAATAATGTTTGTTGGCATGTGTTCTGCTTCAACTGTGTTGGGACGCCATGAAGCTATCTTTATGAGTCATCCAACCACAATACTAAATACATGTCAGCAAAGGAAATATTATCTGAAAAGGGAAAAATCCCTTTGATGTGCTTCAACATGCAGAGATTTCTGCGAGTTTTGGAAGCTCTGCCCGCTTGTAAGGAACGGTGTACGCTTACACTTTTTTTTTCCCCCTTTCTGCCGACTCCGTGCCTCAGAAGACCACCCATTGCTTGAAAACAGTTCTGCTCTTTCAGCGGCAAAGTGTGTCATTTGGTTTTAGCACATTCATTTGCCGGGCGCTGTGTTTATATTAAGGGAAGCCAAACCGAGAGATGAAATGTTACAAGGGTGAAGTACAAAGTAGACTCAATTTTTCTCAAGTTAGGAGATGCCAGTGATTTATAGCTTGACTCCAATTTTGATTTTTTTTTTTTTTTTACGTAGCAGTGGAAAGAATTAATAAAATGCACAGCTCTCAGGGATGAAGAGGGAGGAAGGGTAGTGAGGTCCGGACGACTGGCTGGAGTTTTTGTCAGATATTCATAGAATGTTGGGAAAAAACATTCTGCTTAGCTAGCAGTGCCCTCGTGAGACAGAATGGCAGCAAGTAAGGAAAATAACAAGATAAATGAAATTTTTGCAGCTGCAAGTAAAATATTGAGAATCTGCACTTTTTTATTGATCTTTATGATCCTATTGCCAAGAGCCACTTTGTGGTGACAGAATCTGTTGACAAGTGCATATCTCACTGCCATGAAAAATGTGGTGAGGGATTCGCCTCCTTGTCTGCAGTGTACGAGGAACAAATTGCCTTGCTACAGCCAGTTCCTCCCAGAAAGGCGGAATGTAAGGCCCACCAACCCTAAACACTTTTATCTTGAACTTGAGGCTAATATTTGCAGCAATGCTTCATTGAGAAAACCAGTCGAGGTCTCATTTTTTTTTTAATCTGTAGATTTTTCTTTACGGTATCAAAGCTGTTATTAAAGAAGGCTTATTTCTTGGTACGTTCACTCTACCACTGCAGAGTGTAATCTTTTAACCAGAGTCAAGTGCTCCTCTCGTATTTATCGAATTGCCACCCGTTTCACATGAGGGGTTTTCCCTTGTCCTGTACCAAACTTTAGAAGGAAGACAATGGGGAAGATTTTTATTTTTATTTTTATTTTTCTCAATACTTATATCACAGAGCTCTTTAATTTCATTACAAATTTGAGAACTCCCAACGCCAAGTTGCAAGAAGGTACATAATGCTTTTCCTTCAAAGAAGAAATCAATAGTATTAATTTATATACAAGGATGAGGCATCAATGTCTGCATTTTGCCAAGAGGGAGAGTGTTCTCATCGGTGTGAGGTGGGATTTTTTTTTTAATGGACTCTTCCTTTCTGCTGTCTCCTGGGCCAAACACCTGTCTCTGCAGCTGAGACACACTAGGAAGGGACACCGTGGAAATAAACTGTGAACTCTTTATCCTGCTGGGTCACAGGCTCTAACTGGTTTCTGGGAACGATAAGGTGGGCGTCGATTTTGTTACAAACAGGAACTGTTTAGGCAGAGCTGGGCAGAACTTTGGGGGGCAATAAAAATGTGGATGGGGGCACGTGAGTCCTACATATTACTAAGCTGGGTTTTCTTTTGTTTTGAATAGGTCGAATATATTCTACCGAGCCTGTATAGATATTCCCAGGGGCACCGAGCTCCTGGTGTGGTACAATGACAGCTATACGTCTTTCTTTGGGATCCCCTTACAATGCATTGCCCAGGATGAAAACTGTAAGAATTTATTTTAGCTCTGCATTTACATCTCAAAAGCCCTATTGTAAAGCTAACTTTTTTAAGCGTGTTGTTTGAAACTCCTGAAATGCGTTCACTCTGCCATCTAACACAAATGTGCTCCAGTCTGTCCCCTCATTTTCTTTTCCCTGTATGTCCTTCACTCTTTCACAGGGCATCTTGACTTGTACAGGACAATCCTTCCTCGCCTGTTTACAGTGCCAAAACCCCTATCAGAGTTTCAAATAACCGCCAGCAGCAATGTTAAGGCAGCTGGTGTTTACCGAGTGCCTGTTGCGTGTCTGGTTCCACACTTGCCATCTTACAAGGATGCCAGGGCAGCGTAAGATACAACTTCTGCTCTAAAGGGCTGTGCAGTTGCACTGCAGTCATAGCACAAGCAGAAGTGAGAGGGTGAGAAAACAGTGCCCTTTCATGGGGAGCGACCCCTCCAGTCCACAGGCCGTGCTTCCTCCCAAGTAGTCACTGTCACGAGAAACCGTAGTAAAAATGGTAGACATGTCACTGAGGAACTTGTGTCTCTCTAAACTTCTTAGCCTAAATGAACCCTGTAATTTTAATCTATCTCTCATATCACAGCAGCCGGTGTCTTCTAAAAAATAATCTAACATCTAGGCAAATGCAAACTTGCAGCAATTTTTACTTAAACTTTATACTTTTGTTCTATCAGTTCTTTGGAGAGTATTTGTAGGTGATTTTCCGTATTTGGAAGAGAATTAGGTAATTCTGATGTGCTTCAGTGAGAGACACTGGTTTCAATGGTGCTGGTTTTTTCTTGTCACAAAGTTGACTAATCTGTGAACTGATCATTTGGGATTATGTGACAGAAAAGGAAGCCGAGGGAACAGATCTATTTAAGGAACCTTATTTTGAAAAAAAAAAAGTTTTACGTTATTTTATCCTTCACTACTTAACTTTCTCACACACACAAACTCCAATAAAAATGTTCATATTCCTACTGAACAAAATGCTGATGATCAGGTATTTATTTTCACATTGCTTTTATTTTCTTTGTGAAAAATAGAATCCTCAAAAGACGTATTACTATCAACTTTCCTTTTCTACTTTAACCCAAAACCAATCTCAAGTCAAAACACAAATCTCTGGACATACTGCACATTCCTCTGACTTCCCAAGTTTCCATCGGAAAGTTTCTTTCCTGCGGCGATACTCCTGTTTGAGGGAGTGTCTGTTGGAGAAGGAGAAACGCTCGGTGTTGGACATGAGTGTGCAGCTGGTGATGGAGGCGGATGTGGACATGGAGGCCCGTGTGCTCTCTCTTCCCGGAATGGCTCCATGCCCTAGCTTCTCTAAAACTAGCTCTAGGCCCACAGACGAAAAGCATTGCACTATCAGCCCCTCCCCCCACCCACCCAATCTACTGACATGGGCCTGTCTGCCCATAGAACCTCGACATAAGCTCACTTTCTGAAATACAGAGCTCAATCCAAAAGGATGCTGGAGGTCTTTCACTAAAAGCTGCTACAAACTCTGAAGATGTTATTATGGTGTGTGTGCTGAGGATTATCAGGGAATAAACATGGTAAAACCTAGGGTTCTAAAGTACATAGCACATAGTCCAACAAGCCATTCATTCACTCATTTATTTATTCATTGCTTAGATATACATTGAACACCTACTACATGCCAGTGTTTTTGTTAGGTGCTACAAATACAGCTGAGAACAAACTAGACAAGAATTTTGGCTTCATGGTGCTTACCGTCCTGTGGAGGGAGACAGGTTATCAACAAATACATGAGTAAATAAATAGTTTGTCAGGTGGTGGTAAGTGTGGGAGAGATAATGAAACAGAGAAGAGATGAGGCATGCCAGGAGTGGGGAATCACAGTTTTAGAGAGTGATCAGGGTAGTGGCTGCTAGATATGTGACCTTTGGGATAAGACGTAAAGAGATGAAAGTTGTTTGGGAGAAGAATGTCCAGTCAGGCTGCACAGAAGTTCAAAGACCCCAAGAAAGGAATGTTCGTGACTCTGCAAAGGCATCACAGAGGCTGGCACAGGTGTGTGGGAGTGGGTGAGATGGGAAGATGTCAACTTAAATATTGGGGCGGGGAGACTGCTGTCAGGACCCTGTATTTTACTCTGTGAGGGCTGGGTGCAAGGGGGCTAGTGCTGAGTTTTGAGCAGAAGAGTGATGTGATTTGGCTAAAGTGGTGGCAGGAAGGCTCTGGCTCCTGAGCAGAGACACTTAGGGGTGAAGGTGGAGCAGGGAATTCAAGTAGAGGCTCTTGCAGGAATCCAGAAGAGAGATGATGATAGTTTGGACCAGTGTAGATGTGCTAGAGGTGGTGAGAAGTGGTTGGATTCTGGATATATTTTCTAAGCAAAGTCCACAGCACTCACTGACACACTGGATGCTGAGTTACAGGGAAAGGAGTCAAAGATATCGCCACAGCTTTGGTCTGAGCAACTGGAAGGATGGAATGGCCGTTCACTGAGTTATGAGTCAGAAAGGGAAACTGCCATGAAATGACAACTCAGGGAAGGCAGCTGTCACCGTCGATATGGACGTTTGGGGTGGAAGTCCCACATCTAAAACATTCTGCTTCATGGAACTGTTACAGGGGGACAGGGATGTAGGGGTTGGGCTGGGGGATTCCTGTGTGCTGTTCACAGCCACCTGAAAATAGATGTCTAAGGATGTACTGTCTGGCCTTCAAATTCAGGGCCAGAATGCCATCAGAAGGTGCACTTTCTGGATACACCGTATGCTTTGCTTTTCAGTCCTGCTCCTAGAGTCCAACCCACATGAAGTGTAGCTGATTAGAGTATTGAATGAACTCTACCAGGGTATATGTTATATCATTTAGCGCCTGAAATCCTTGGAAGAAAATTCACAAAGCCACAGCATCTCGAAGTATTGTGGATTCAATAGGTAAACTAAGCAGCTCTTTGGGGTTGAGTTCATAGTGCTAACTGAGGGTGGAGGGAAGTTTAAAAGAATTAAGTTACGGACTAAAATGCTCAACAGTGACAATCCGCCTTCTCTCTAAGGGTATTATAGGAATTTTATTTCAGTTCCTGTCTCAAAGTCATAAATCTGTCATGTGACTGGCCACCCAAGAAAGCAGCAGAAAGCTGCATCAGATAGTGTGGGGGAGATAGATATATGACTTTGACTCTAACTCGAAGATGGATTCTCATTCCATGTGATTCGCTGAGAGACCTGGGGATGCTTCTAATGAGGATCCCTGATTTTGTACTGAGAAAATACTCTGTGATTTAACAGCACAAATGTGTGAAAGGGCACGGACAGATAATTTAACAGAAAACCTTCCACAGGCCTGAGTAATTTAAATCATCTCCACTGGATTAGCAATTCTAAGACATTTTTTATCCTCCTGAGCTAGCCACAAAATAAATTAGGAACCTTAAAAAAATGCTTCTTGAGATCAAAGATTTACTGGACAAAATGCCTCCACAGAGCCTCCTTAAGGTTCAGTGCACACAGTAAACAATTAATAAATGCTCACTGCATAAATATTGAGAATCTTATGGCCATTAAATATTGGGGGATTTCAGCCAGATTTTTTTTGTTATTGATGAAATTGATACTTGGCCAAAGACATTAAAGGAAAACATGATTTTACTCAGAGAATATTTTACTTAGTGAATGATTTTACTTATTAAACACTTTCACTTATAAAAATATCATTTTCTCCCCATGGTTCTTTCAACATCAAAAGTACGTATTTCCTATTGAGTGTGTGCAGTGGGTTCACTGCAGTGACCACCCCCCTCTGGCAGTGGCCGTGGAGCCTCCGGGCACACGCCCTGCCCGCCCTGCCCGGACCAGCCATTGGAAGCTGCCTGGCCTCAAAGAGAAGGCAGCGTTTCACACAGGCATTTGGGTTCTGGAACCAATTCCTGAATGCCTATTTTCTTTTAAAAGGCCATCATTTTGAATGTAATAGAGCTCCAAAGAGGGAGCCACTCCATCCACTGGGGGCCTTTCGGAAGAGCCAGAAGGTTCCCCTTGTCAACAGATTGTATCCCCAAGAAGGAGCAGGCTCCCCAAAGCTACAGTGGGGGATGAGCTCCTGCAGAGTGTAAAGACTATGGTGTATTCATATTCATTTCGAAGGAAATGTTTTTTAAAAACCTGGGAGTCTTCCTGCTGCGTGTTCTGCCTTGGCCTGTGAAGCTGAGGTGGCAGAATATGAAACTTGAGGGCCGCACAGGAGTTGCTGCGTGCGAGTGACCTCTGCCTCCGGGAGGCCTGGCTTGTTCTTTTGATTTTAAAGAGCAGAAAGGAAAAAGGGGCACCTCTGTGTAGTGCTCTCCACCCTCGTTATCCATTCATTAATGAAAAACTCAGCGAGGGGTGAAGAAGGCCCTACTTAAGCCTTATATCCATGAACGTCGAGATTACATACATGTTCCAACAAGAACATCTGCCTGCAGGGCTCTGCGGGAAGCATTGCGATGGGGCACAGACACACAGGCCCTGTCCTCGAGGAACTCGGCCTAGGAGAAGGCACGGAAGCCCACAACTACAATGCAGCACACCGCACCGTGCCAGGTGCAATGGCCGTAGCAGTAGTGAAGCCTGAGCTGGGGCTAGGCTGTGAGGCTGAGGGTCAGCGCAGTGGCAGCAGGCAGGGTTCCAGGCCCCTGTATACAGGGGGATGCTGGGAGTGGACTCCTCACATGAATCCAGGAATTGGAGTTACATTTTTGTCTGGGAATGAGGACTAGGAAAATGCTAACCTCAAATAGGAACTGTCTTGCTTGAGCCATTGGGTGAAAACAGAATATTACACTCTATAAAGCAGCTCTCTCTATGGAATGGTGTGGGCTTGGTTTTGTTCTACCTACCAGGTATGGAAACTCTGGGCCAAGGAACTAATATAGAAATTGGTGCAGCAGTGGAGAAACCTGTAAGATCCTAAAAGAAGCAAAGGAGAACTCACCCACTGAGGCATCTCTGGATCTGTGTGGGACTCCAGCAGAAGATC